GAGACCAAACTAGCTTGATATTGCATTATACCCAAATTCAGGTCAGCGGCTTGATAGCGCGTAGGATATCAAGACTGTAGACGAGGCTTCTGATTGGCTAATGTGAATCTGGGCATGGGTGAGACATATACAGGAGGTTGCCTTCCGGTCGAATTTCTACCTTTCCGGAGTCAGAGGGCTGGAATTATCAGAAAAATGTCAACTTACATATGCATTTCAACGATATTATTCCATCTGAATGCTTTTGGTTCGATTATCTTTAGAGGATTATCTGAAAGCATTCTATAATAATGCAAGCAAAAAATAATGTAATTAGCATAGCACTGAAACGGTCGAATATCCAGCAGCAAAACATCTCTTAATTTTTCTACGCTAGCACAACTTGAGGCGTTTGTAAAATCACCAGCATTTGGCAAATTAATCAGCAATTTTTAGCTTATCTTTGACATAGTATATTATCTAGTAGCAAGAGGACACATAAGTTCTCATAACATATGCCATTTTATGTAGCAAATACAATTCAGGGATACTCAGCATAGTAATATTTTTCGTTAATTTTCAATTTTCTGTCTTTTAAAAAGTGGAAAATGAACAAAATTTTCAAAAGTTCTCGATGACAGAAAAAAATAAAGAGGGTACGTCGTATGTCACCAGGTGTAGACTTCACGTACTGGTTTGTTCACAGGTGATTCTATTTAATTACCGTTGTTATACCTCCCAACTCATTGCATTTTCTGCTTGGAGGAGAACGTGTCACGTGCCATGGGTCAAAATTCACTAACTCCCTAGGGTGAACAAAACTCACTAATCCTCTAGGGAAACAACAACTTGAACTTTCTGCTCGCACGTGATCAGGTCGTGCACAAAGCTAACACGATCAAAACACACGTTCAAAGATTTCGTAAAGCTCCACGAATGTGTCTTTTCGTCGCTACATTCAGGTAAATTTCCCTGAGCGACAAGTCCTGGCAGGGTCGCCAAATGTTAGCCCTCGTTGCCACAATAGAATAAGGCAAGGTCAAAACATAGACTTGTCCAACCGTTTTCTTTTCTTTTCGGTCTCTCGACCTCGTCGTCGACTAGTTTCTACATATCACGTGACTGACTGTGTGGGGGTGGGGTGACCCCTACAGTAGCAACAACTTTTGCTCGCGACTCACGTCAGCAATATCCCTTCATGCACAAGTGCAATTCCACGCTAAATACCCTCTCTTCGATAGCCAATCAGACCGCAGGTTTACCTTTAGCTCTGCGATTCTACCAAATATTGTTTCAAAGGCCAACAATAATTTCTGTCACTTACATACATTGTCAGTTACACTGTGCCAGTGCTACACTCGAACCTCTCCACAACGGCCACCCCAGCAACAGAAGAAAGTGGCCGTTTTCGAGAGCTGGCCGGGTGTAATACGACACCAGTTTTTTATCGGGTTGCAATATTTTTATTCTTAAAAAAATATTTATTGTAGCATATGAATACTGAACACAATCAAAACATATCAATAAAACACACACCAAACTGGAACAGAGACTAACGACGGAAAGGTTTTGGGTACACCGTTCTGCAGTCGTTATTTAACTGGCCGTTGTCGAGAGGTTTTTTGGGACTTTAAGATATGGTACGGCTAGGCTGTAGAGCGGGGGCAAATAGTGAAGATAACTTCTGATGACGTCATGACGCGCGTTGCAGTACGGCTTTCCCGCCATAGCCTCGCTTTCTACTTTAATGTACACTTCACTAATTGAGTATAAGCCTGCTGTTTACTTCTCATTTTAGCGCTTTTTTCGCTGTTGAACCACCCTAGTACTCAAAGGCAAAAATCCGTTCAAAGGTAATTGCTTCTATGTCATTTGTACAGAAAAAATGATGATTTAAACCGTAAGCGACTGTCAAATTTGTAGTGAGCCGAACGAGGCTGGGCCAAACAGTCGCAGATAAGAAAGCTTTGTATGTACTAAGCTGAGCTATAATTGTTTATTGGTGTTCAAAATGGATTTTGTTAGAATCAAAAGTTCGGTACTGATTTTCAGGTTTATCACGTTGTAGGAACACCCTGCCCGTGCTGAAATTGAACTTTTTACCAGTGTTAGTTTGCTTTGTGGTTTGAATTACAGGCGGCTCTAAAAGGCAAAACTAGGTTCTCGGAGATCATGGGAGATGTAAGACGGATACAGAAGAAGTAAAACACCGTCATTGATCAAGCCTATGTCGTGTGACAATAGAATAAAGTCGCTGGTTTTTCCTTGAACGAAGCCATTTTTATAAAGATACGTAGGGGCTGCAGAAGCCGTTGCCGTACACGTACAGAGAAATCTTAATCCGTTTGAGTTTTGCCGAGAAAACGGAGTTGTCAGCTTAGACCCACACGACCAAAATGGCAGTAGTAGTAACTCGCCCTTAGCGTATCTTAACCCTCCAGAGTACCAAAGGGCGGGGGAAGGGAGTGGATAACGTTTTTTCAATGTTTTGAAAGTACGATTCACCCTAATGGGCTGAAACTTTCGGTGGCTGTTCATTCATCCTTCGCGGAAATTTTGTTTTGTCAATTGTGTGTCCTCATTTTTGACGTTGCCACGGCAACCGAAAATTTCATGTAGGTTTGGCCAAAAATCAGCTTATTTAACACGGTTCTGTATTTTTTACAGTTTTCTTCGTCAAATCCCAGAAATTCACCATTTTGTACATTTCATAAGCATTCTAGCTTGTTTTTGTGTTAATTTCAGTTATTTCTTGACTTGTTAAACAATAGTAAAAACAAAGATGGCGGATCTCACATGGCGGGTCAAATGACGTCACGACCAACAATATGGTATCATTTTGTAGAGCAAGCTCAGTTCTATCTAATCAATGTAAATTTATTTCGCTGCGCCTTCAGAGAACGAAAACCCATCTTGTACCACGGTGAGGGTATGAGTTAGCTTGTACATGGAGAGGTTGCCGTTGTAGAGAGAATAAAGTAGCCGTTGTGGAGAGATGGCCGTTAGTGGAAGCTAGACTGTAGTTTACAAAAATTGATGAGATAATGAACAAACAGGCCATGTTTATTTCTCTGAAAACTGTGGAAAATTATCTAAGGTCAAAATTTTTAGTACCTGTTCTTTAATTGGTCTTGAATTTTGCAGTATTTGTTTCTCCAACTTGCGATGTTTTCTTCTTTTTCCTCGGACAATCTGTTGAATTATTAGAAAAAAAAAAAAACATTTTGTCTTCAGTTTTCTTAAAAATAAAAGAAAACAGCAAAAGAGTTTTTCGCTCAGAATGCTTTTAACCTCTGGTTTTGAATACAACTTCTCAATTTTGTCTCCAGCTGATGTCTTGGATGCCTAAGCTGAAGTTAAGGTGGTATGGTACTCTCAAATGGACCCAAAGTTTGTTTAAATATGGTGAAGAAAGATCAATTGTGTGCTATTGCACTCAAGAAGAGAAATTAAATTTCTAGAGTTTTACTCAAAATGGTTGCTATGGAAACCAGCCGCAGTCTTTTGAGGTAGTGTTTTATAGTATTGACGGCAACACTTCCTGCTCTTTTACAAAACAAGATTTGACTGTCAAATAAGCATATCATGTAAGTTTCTGTTTT